AATTCTCTTATTACATCAATTTGTGAAATACATTTGCGTTTTGATATAGATATTGTCGGACCTCTGATGCTAAACCTTTTTGGCCAATAGCAACCGGACAAATCTTATTGGAGATAATTTGGGAAACAAGACGTGTAACTTGTGGACCAAGCATCAAAGTCTGTCAAACAAGTGCCTAAATGGAAGAATTCTCTAGACTTTGATATTATAGCATATTTCCATTATTTAATAAGAAAGTTTATATTATGTTGGTGTTAGCAATGTTAATGTTATCACTATATATATATGTATCTTATAGCATATGATCTGATATAAAAGATAACTTAATAAGAGCTTTCTTCGGGAAATAGAGAGAATCCTTTTTACTGCTCAATAGAATAGTTACAAGTGTAGTGTTAAGATGCCACTTTTCTGAATGCATCCAACAACTATTAGAGATCCTCTATTTATATAAGAGCATCATTATCCATGAGATTTGGTGGGTATCATTAGATATAAAATTATTAAAATTGGAGTAAAAGGAAAAAAGAGAGTGTTTTTTGTTGAAATAATGGAGTGTATTGAAATATAAAATTAATAAAATTTGAGTAAAAAGAGGAGATGAGTTGATACTTTTGGAGAGAAAGTGTCTTTGTATCAATGGGTTGATACTTTTGGAGAGAGTTTAAACTTTAGTTGGGGTGTGTTTAAATATAAAATTAATAAAAGTTGAATAAAAGGATGAAAGAGAAGGTATAAAGTTGAGTAAAAGGAAGAGAGAATGTGTGTTTTAATAATTTTATATCTAATGATACCCACCAAATCTTATCTCTTTACAACGAAACAAACAACCTCCCAACTGTCTAACTGACTCTATCTTCTGATCCAATCAATAGTTGCCAGCTCACTTCTTTGACCTTCCGTTGACTCGCCAGCTCAGCTCATTCCATCTTCTTCCTTGTAAACACTTTCCAGGGTTTATCAATTATTCTATTCTATAAGATTTGACAAGTCTCTAACACTAAGATTCCCAATTGCAAATCTTGGGGTTGCGGTGGTCCTCTTTCTTTTGAATTTCACGTAACTTTCCCTTCTTTGCCTTTTTTTTTTCTTTGCAAATTGGATATTCTCTTGTTTCATAAAACTTATTGGTCTGAACTGATAACTTGTTTTGTTTATAAGTCATTCAAGAGAACACATCATTTTAGCCATATTAAACCGGTTCAAACCAATAAAAACTGTAGAAGCAGTGAAGTTCAACACAATATTTCAAGATCAAAGAAAAGAGAAAGAAGCAGTCTGTGTCACACATACTTGCTCTGCCAGCTGGTGTGACAGGTGGCACCTCGAGCCATATGAAGAGCAAGTTGCTACTTGGTGCAGAGAAGCAGGTCAGAGAATAAAGAGTTGACATTATGGAGAAAGGGAAAAAGGCGAAGCATGGCGTCTTGCTTAAATACGATGGGACTTATGATACAGTGATTCACTGTTACAACACAGTCTTCTGTCTGCTGGTCCGAAGCATGTATGAGAGAGAAGACGGTAATATAAAAAAAAAAAGAAAAATAAGGGTTCATTGAGTTAGTTCTGCATAAATTAAAAGGGAGGTTTTCGGGTAGAACTCATTAGGTTGATGGGTGGTGAGAGGCGTTCTTAAAAGTGAGGCATTGAATTCTCTGAGTGTGTGTGATCACAGAATAAGGGTAGACTAGGTAAAGTCTTGTGAACGAATCACTTATTGTGAGTTCGTATTTTCCTGGATAGTTAGGATTGTATGGCTTCTAGAAGTAATTTGTGTTCTAAATTGCGCATATGAATAAAGTGATAATCATGTGATTGATTCAAGTGTGTTGTTCTCTGTGTTATTCGATTGGTCTGTGGCTATATCTTTTTCATTTGGTATCTGAGCGGATCACCAAACATAGGACCTCTTGCTGGTTCTAAACAGGTGAAGATCGCGTAAAGGACTGGGAAACCTGATTGCAACGGTGTTGACCGTGTCATGTCTGAAGGTTCATAAATGGAAATCGGACATGAATGGTAAACCATGTTGCTTTCATCACTGCCACAGAAGACTGCAAGACTCAAGAAGAGTTGGATTCAGATGAAATTGCTGAACCAAAATCCTCTAAAGACTATCAAGGGTTATTTAACCTATGGACTCAATTAAGCAATGCGAAGATCAAACAAGCTCAAGAAAAAGAAAATCTCATCTCTCTCAAGGAGAAACTGGAATTGTGTGTTCCTCAACCCATGCGTCCTGAGAAAGGGACATGTCATGTTTCGAAACATACAAAAGAACACAGTGTCCGTTCATTACACAATGAACTCCGCAAGGAGAGAGAAGATGCTAATCTTGGTAAAGCATGCCTAGCTGAGAAATACAAAACTGCTAAGATGTTGAGTATCTGCGTGAGCTGGTTGGACATCACTCAACCGAAAGATAATACCAATGATGAAACTAAACTCAATGTCCCTGTTAGACCTGTGTTGAGCAAATCTGTCACTCAACAGGGGATATCTACCCGTGAAACATTTAAGGTCAAATGGGAAAGAAATCGAATCAACAAAGGGGTGTTTAAAGGTTGTTTTCACTATGGTAAAGTTGCACACATGTGGGAACAATGCTTCAAACGAAAGAAGAGAATCCAACAGCTGTGGAATCTCAAAAAATGTTGGATGAAACCTACGCATGTTGGATCTGTGTGGCTGCTTAAGAAGGATCTCTATCTTCATCAACTCACAGATTCAGACCAACACATACTCGAGTATCTGAAGTTAAACTCCGTATATAATCATGGATGGGTTAGCATTGAAGCGCAAGGGAATAAGGAGTCTTTGGAAGCCAATGTTGCCTACACGACAACCTCCTCCAGGGATGGTCAATCC